GTGAAGAGATCAAGCAGGGCATGGAGGGAAGGTAGACATGAGGAGGGACTGCCCAGGCCCTCCCCGAATGGTGGGAGAGTGGGCGTCAGTTGTAAAGCAGGAACAGGAGAAATGCTTGTGTCCCCCCACAAACCAGTAGGTTACGGCTCTAACCCAATAGTATGGGGAGGTGGGGCTTTTGGGAGGTGACTAAATGCAGATGAGGCCAGGAGGGCGGGGCCCTCATGATGGATTAGTGCTCTTATGAGAAAAGACCTTGTGAACTTAGATGATACGAGAGGGGCAATGTGAGAGGGTGGCCCTCTGCAAGCCAGGAATGAGCTCTCCTGGGGAACTGAATCAGGTGGCACCTTGATCTTGGACGTCCATCCTCCAGAACTGTGAGAAATAAATGTCTGCTGTTTAAGCCACTGAGTCTATTGTAATTTGCTATGGCAGCCCGAGCTGACTGACTAATACAACACCCTTCCCAAATCTGGGTGGTTTGAAAAAAAAAAAGAAAGAAAAAAAGACATCCCCTGGCTGGCGGTGGAAGCCTGGCTCGTCTGTCCATGCTCAGCGAGATCCGAACAGCGGGAGGCACCCCGATCCTCAGCAGTGGCGGCCATCCTAAGCCTCATTTTCTACACCTATAAAAGGCAGATAATTAATATTTACCTTGAAGCGTTGTTGACAATTACATGAACTAATGTGAGCCCTGCATGAAGGGCTTCAATGCGTGAAGGCTGTTATTATTAACACTAGAGGGCAAAGGAGGGCGGGGGAGGAGGCAGCCTGCGCTGGCTGCTGTCACCCACAGGGGCCTGACTGGACAGGCTGTCCGTGGGTTATTGCTAGAGAAAATGAAAGCAAACACAGGCAGGAAAGGTCCCCAGCCCAGGGGCTGTCTGGGGCACGTGGGGAAAGGACAGTATCCGGCTCGAACCCTCTCTGAATGGGCCTTTGTCAGAGCTGCCCAGCGGACCTGCTGTGAAAGGCTTCCAGGGCTGGAGGAGCGAGCCTGCGGACGAGGGGCCGGCGCCCTGGGGAGTCGCTGATGGCTGGCCTCGTCCTCCTCAGCCCCTGTTTCTCCGTGTGCCGTAGTGTGAGTGAAGTCTGGGCACACCGGTGTGAGAGATGCTGCCCAGGAGAGGCAGGTGAGCAGGACTGGGGGACAAAGGACCCCGACACAACGCAGGCACAGGGGCTACCACGTTAAGGCTCTGACAGAGCTGTGGGTGTGCTGGGGACGGCAATGTCTGTGGGTGTCATGGGGGATATGGGAGGGGCAGCTGCTGAGGCTGAATTTTGCCGGGACTGTGCAGTCAGGGGCCAGAGCTCTACTGATGGCAGCACAGTGACTGGGTGCCTCGTGGAGCCTGGCCACCAGCAGCCCCAGTGAACACTCGGGAGCTGACAGTGGGCATAGGGGTCTGACACGTTGACAGGAGCTGCTGTCATCGGGTCCCCAAGTCTCCTCTTTCTCTCCTTGTTTCCATAAGTCTTCTGTCCCTCGCAGAGAGCTGTTGCTCTGGAATGCTAGTTTACATTCTATAACTTCTCTAATTCTAAAATGCCTTAGACACTGATGCTGGTTGGCGATTCTCTTGATTGAAAAGTCTGCAAAGATTTATTACTCTTTTCCCATGTCTGCAGCCTTGGGCTGAGTGTTACCAAAGATACGAAAAAGAGTAAGTGGGGGTCTTGGGGAAGACGGGGAGCAGGTGGCTGAGTGTGATTGGGTCAGGCTAGTCCAGAACATGGTGGAAGAACAGAGGGATGGGGGGAGGGGGGAGAGAGGGAATGTGACAGAGAGAGAGAGAGAGAGAGAGAGAGAGAGAAACACAGAGTTAAAGACAGAAGTAGACAGAGAGAGCAAAGAAAAGAGGAGAGAAGAGAAGAGAAGAGAGAGAGCATGCATTATGCAATTATTTGTGTATCACTTATATCTTCTCACTTCTAAATGCCTTCATGCCTGGGTAGTCAAGTACTTGGTTCTATTTTTAATGGCAATCCAGAAGCAGTTTGGGAAAGGGCAGGATGATATGATGGGAAGAGCTCTGTAGTCAGACACAGGCTCAAATCTAGCCCTGCAGCCTCCTGCCTGGGGCGCCTCTGGGCAAGCGCCTTACCCTCTCTGAGCCTGTTTTCTGTCTGCAGATGGGGGAAGACAGCGCCCTCTCAGGGCCACTGCGATCGCGCCACATGGCAACATGCACAAGGCTCTGGGTATTTGTCCAACAGAAGCGCAGAAAGAAAGACCTGGTTTTGGGTGAGGGGAGGTGGTAGAAAGAGGCTGGGATGAAGTCAGACCTGGGGGGCTCAGGGCAGCACCCAGCTGCCCTTCTGCGTGCAGCCCTAGCAAAGTTTGTGGCCACTTTGCGTACACAGAGAGTGGGGCTCTCCTAGCCAGGTGACATCATTTACAGGAAACCACCAGGAAACTGAATCCGCTGTTTGTGAGTTGCCAGCAAACCCTTCAGAGTCCTGCCATCACAACCAGCACTTTGTTAGTGGCCCGCTGCAGTATTTCTTCAGTTCCTGACCAGAGGTTTGATCTTCTCTCTCTTTTTTTCCATGTGCTGCTTTGGGGCACTTTGTTAGAGAACAGGTAGAAATAATAATGCATGTTACACACCAAAGCCAATATCGAGGTGACGGGGCCTCTCTAGGCTCCCAGGGACTGGCCTGGGGTTAACGTGTTGCCTCCATCTCAGCCCAGACCCGTGCTGGCAGCTGGTGGCATCATAGATGTCAGATGGCTGTCAGACTCTGCGATGTGCTTTTATGAGACAAGCTGGCAGTTCCCACACAGGTTGAGGGCCTGCCATGATGGTTCCAGCCGTGACAAGGAGCCCTGAACCAGCTTTCCCAGCCCTGGGCTGGTCCAAGGATGCGCTGGCCCTGGCTTGGGCCTCAAACCCCTGACGTCTGGGGGGATGACAGAGGCATTGCTGCAGTTCCCCCAGATGGCAATTTCCCACCCTCCCTCTGCCAGGGAAGCCAGCTGCCCAGAGCTCGGGGCTTTCTCCATGAACACATCAATCCTAATTAAGAGGAGGAATTAATAAAGGAGGCATCTGAGCCACTCTGCAGAGGCCAGGCTTGCAGGCATGGGGGTGTTCCAACTTCCACTGGGAAACTGGAAGGCCTGGGGTCCACATGTGTATTTGGGCGGTGACAGTGGTGTGACTTACTGTGCCACACGGACAGTGCCCAGTGGAGCCCGTAAGGCGGGCACTGCAGCCCCTGCTCTGTGTCTACCTCAGGTGCCATGGCAGGTAGTGACGTGGGTACATTCTCCAAATGAGAGGAGTAGGTGTTCGTGATCTGAACAATTGCACACCAGAAATGATGTTTTTCAAGAGAAAAGAGGAGGGTGTGATCGTGGGCCCACCGATCCTTTGTGCAGCTGTTTCCCAAACTATTGAGTGCACATTGCTGCTGCTGGAAGGCTCCTCTCCCCACTGGCATTAAGCTTCAAAATGCAAGGGGTAAAAGCAGCCTGGTACGGGAGAGCATGTGGGGGTGGGGGGCAGAGGTGGGCAGGATTCCAGATGAGAACAGGCATGGTCTAGGAGGAGAGCAAGGAGACAAGGTGGACCTCACCAAGCCTACCTGCTTTACAAAGTCTCTTTATAGATGACTTCAAATGCGGCCAGAAAAGGGCCATGGTTTTAAGAGCTCCCTGCCAACCTCCACCAAGATCCTACCACGCTGAACTATTTGCAGGGGCTATAACTGCGGGTAAGGGAAGCTAGCTGTGTGGGAGAACTTCCCGAAAAACTGAGGGGTGGAGTTAACACACGGGAAAGGTTACAGAGAAACAAAGACCAAACTCTATCCCAGGATTTTTGAACTGAACGTTCTGCTAACTTCCCCCATCTCCATTTTAAAAACCAAGACCAAGTGGCAGACCTGTCCACAACTTGACTGGAACCAGATGGCCCCTCCACAGCCACCTGTTACTACGAGTTCCTCAGCTGGGCGGGCAGGAGCCCGGCAGGCGCTGAAGTCGGGTGTCTTTCGCCATTGGAGGCTTCCGGGCCCTTCCTCCGGAGGAAGTGGTCCCCACAGTCCCGGGGCACCCAATTCGGACCCCCAGAGGCATTCCAACCTTACAACACCCACCACTCGGCCTCTCAGTGCAACCGGGGTCGAGGTGCGCCGCCTCCCCTGACTTGACGGATGGCCACGCCCCTCCCAGGCCTTTCCTGGTTCGCGGGTCTCCCCTGCGCACCCCAGGTCTCAACCAAGCTCTCTCGCAGCCTCCGGCAGAGACAAATACGGAGAGCTCGCTGCCCCAGCCAGGGGAGACTGGGTGTCGCTCCCCTTCCCTTCGCACCGAGCAGATAGGAGAGGACGAGTAGCCCCGGGGAACAGTGGGGGATGGAGCAGGGTTTCGGCGGCGTCAGGTTCGGGCGACCCGGCTCCTCCAGACCCGCTGGGAGCCCAGCCCCCACTCACACCCCTCGGCCAGGGCCTGGAGCTAGAGCAGAGCGGTCCCAGCGCTCCCCGCCCCCGGCCGGCCCCGCCCCAGGATGGCCAGTTCCCATAGCAATCGCAGAGACACCGGTTGCCAAGCAACCCCCCCTTCTCCCTCCCCTCCTCTCCGGTCCCCTCCCCCCCAACCCCAGCCGCCTCCCGCCCCCTAGCTAGCCTGCACCTCCCCCGGGGGCGCCGGCGCGGTCCCTCGGGATCGCCGTGGTGTCCGGCTGCGCGCGCGCGCGTGAGTTTCGGTGTGTTTCATTGTGTCTGTGGGCGAGGGGGTGTGTGTGTGCTAGTGGAGAGTTTGTGGGGTAGGTCTGTTGGGGGGTCCGCAGCCGGGAGCGAGCCCGAGCTGGTACACAGCTGGCCGAGAGGGGACCCGCCCGCTCGCTCCGACTCCTTTGTGTCTCGCGCGGAGCCAGTGCCGCGCCCACCCTCTTCCCTGCCGGCGGCCCGGACAGGGGGTGGGGTAGGGTGGGGTGTCTGTGTGCGCGCCTGTGTGTTGGGGATGGGGGTGCCGGTGTCGGCCGTACCTTCGATGCAGCACACCCGCCACAGCCCCGAGTGGGTGAGGTCGCCACGGGCGCGGCGGGGCGGGGGCCCGTCGTCCATGGTCAGGTTGCTGCTGTTGCAGATGTGCGCGCTGGAGTAGAGCCAGTAGTCGGTGCCGATGGCGATGGCCATGAGCGAGAAGGCGGCGAAGGCTCCGGCCGTGGTCAGCAGCAACTGCAGCCCGCGGTCGCATCGCACCATGGTGGGCGCCTCATAGTCCGCCGCCCGCCGGCCCGGCCCGCCGTGCCCGCCCGCCCTCCTGCCTCTGCGCGCCGCTCCGGGGCGCCCGGGCTGGGGGCCGAGGGCCGGGGGGCGGCGCCGCGCCGCGCCGCGAGCTTCGACCCGGCGCCCCGGGAGTGCCTGCGCTCCGGCGGCTCCGGGGCTTAAACTCCGAGGCGCGGCGGCGAGTGAGAGCTGCGCGGGCCGCCGGACCCGCTGGCGGCGGCGGCCGGGGGCTCCTCCCTCTGGGCCCGCCCTCCCCGCGCGGCCCGCGCCTCCGCCCGGCGCCCGCCGCCCGCCGCCCGCCGCCCGCCGCCGCGCTCCGGGCCCGCGCCCCGCGCCTCGCGCCTCTCGGCGCCGCCCCTCGCGCCTCGGCCCCCTCCCGGGTGTGCGCTCCGCTCTCTTTCCCCAACCCCAGCCCGGACTGTCTCTCCCTCCCCATCGCTCCCTCCCCGCTCTCGCGCTCTCTCTCCGTCTCCCAGGGTTCATTCACATTATTAGAGCGAAGGAAGCCGCGGCACCGGTTCCCTAGGAGCACCGAAGGGAAACCGCTACCAGCTACCTCGCTTACTCTTACACCCAGGACACCCAGCCTTCCCTTAGACGGCCCTGAGGACTCTTTTTAATTTGTGGAGTGTGTGTGTGGTGTCCCTTCTTTTCCCATGTGCGAATCCATGCCTTTAGCTGGCGGTTAATGTATAAGAGTGAGTGTGGGAGCGTTCAGGTCAGATTTCTAGAAACCCCAGATGTGAGTCACAGCTGGAGACTTTGCAGGCCAAGCCAGGGCCCTGCCACTCTCCTCCCCCACCCAGGTGGCTCCTGGCTCCCGGCTCTTGCCTCCCGCGGCTGTCCCAGATCCGCTGTCTGATCCGCTTGCAGGCTAGGGGGTTGATGCAGAAGGGAGGTGTCAGCCAGGGGTCCTTCGGAAAGGACACAGGAATCCTGTTTTATAGGGAGTTGGTGAGGCTGTGATTGAAGCGGGGGCGCTACCCCATTATTACATTACATGGTATATTACTGTGAAACCAGGAACAGCCGGTTGTGCTACATTCAAACATCCCAGCGCCTGAGCTGTTTCCCTCTTGTTCCCAGCTCACTCTTCAATACCTTTCTTTTTGCCTCTCGCTCTACTCGAGCTTAACTGGCTTTCCCTCACCTCCTCCCCTTTATTGCCAGCCTCTGCCTCACTTAATTGCCTTTGCTGTTGGCATGGTCTCAACCTGGGCACGCCCCCTTCCCCCCAGAGCCAATTCAGCCTCCTCCTCCTTCAAAAGCCAACTCCGAACTTTTCCTTCTAGGAGGCTCTGAGACCAGCATGTGGTTGTCCAACATGCCTTTGCTTCCTACCTCCCCAAAGCTCACGTTGACGTCCCTGGTGGGCTTCCTGTGGGAAGCAGCACTGGGCCCCTACCCCACCCTGCCCCAGCAATTGACAGAGGAATGTGAAGAACTGCTATTCTTCTTGCAAGATACAGCTTAAATTTCACCTTCTTTGTGAGACCTTCCCTGGACCCCACTACCCAGGGAATATCAATGACCCCATGTTGGAATGACCAGCCTGTCACCCACAAGATTGTGAATCTTTCTCATACCTGACAAAATATGAGAAGGAGTATTGCTGAGACGTGAGTGAGACGTGTTTCTGTGTTTCTCGCTCCCTGGACAATTAGGGTCTGGTTTGGGGAAAGAGCATATAAATAAAAGGGTGAAATTCCAAAGGAATATAGTCCAAGGACCAGACTGGCCACACTAATTAGCACTTGTTGGCCCCCTTCTCCTGCCTTTGGGGTGTCTGATCTGCTTCCTCAAAGTCTCAAAGGACAAGAGCCCTCACTTCTGTGTTACTTTCACCCGCCTGCGACCTGGCCCCGGGGGTTCTGCACACAGCAGGTGCCAGGGGTGTGCCCAAAGGCATGCGGCAGGTGCCAGGGGGCTCAGATCCGGGCTGCCCCTCTGTCCCTAATACCCGCCAGGATACAGCCTGGGTTCCATTCTCAGAAGCTCCCAGAAGGGTGGATCTCAAGCTTTGCTTTCTTTTTCTGTTCTCTTTCTTTTTCTTTTCCTTTTGCCCCCTCTTCCTCTTCCTCCTCCTCCTCCTCCTCCCCCTTCTTTAAGGAACAAATCTTTTCTTCATATTAAATCTTAAACAGAAACTCAACATAAAAAAACTAGGTCTCCCACCAGTTAGCCTTGTAAGTTAGCCTTGTGGGATTGCTCTGGTTGAATGGGGGACCCAGAGTGCCTGTTCCTACCTACTCACACGACCCCTTGTAGCCCCCAAAGTACCTCCGTGGATCTAGAGTTCCATGAAACGTGGTGTGAAAACCCCGACATCTTGAGAGAGCTCCTGGGCCACTTGGACATGACACCTGGGTGGTGGGGTCCTCCTCTAAGTAACAGGTCCTCATGTTAATCCCACAGAGGCAGAATGAAGATCTTCAATCATCGGAGTCCTGTTGGACCAGCTCCACCCTCTCCACTCTCAAAGGGGCCTGTGGGAGAGTTGAGAGAACACTGGACTAGGAGGCAAGATGGTCGCCACGTCATGCTGGCTCCCCAACACACTACCAGGGCGATCTTGGAAAGCCAACACCACCTGGGAGAAAGCCACTTCTCCGGTCCCCTCTTCAGAGTTGTTCTGAGGGTCAAATAAAGTAGCCTTACGTGGTGCACACACTTAGTGACCATTGTGGAATGAGTAGTAGCTACTCCCTTTTCTACCTGCTCTTGGAGTCAGCAAGCCAGACACCAGCTAGGGGTTGGATTTTACATTTTCTGTTAATTCTCACCATGACCTCCCTGACCACACCTGGACAGTCCAAGGCAGAGAGAAGTTGAGTAACTTCTTCAAGCCCTCACGCCTGCAAGATCCCCCGGCTCAGACCCTGCTAACTTCAAGTGTTTCAGGGTGTTTCAGGGACACTAGGGAGCCTCATCGCCCTTGGCCTGGACCCCTTGCCTTGTGGTGTTATTATTATGCCTTCATTTGGGGGATGGGGACTCCAATGGGGGGGCTTAGCGGTTTGCCCTTCTTTCTGTGGACGCCCAACTGGAAACGGTGCTGAGCCCTCAGACTGTGAGGGTGTAGACTGTGGAGTCAAATAAGGACCTGACCGCCGGCGAAGGGAGCTGGCACAAAGTCAAGACTGTCTGAGACCATTCATCATGCCTGGGTGAGCGCAACTTCAATCTGGAAACTCGGCTCGGCCAGATTAGAGAACTCTAAATGGCATTATTGAACGGCTGCCTGAGGTCTCTGGAGTTTCTTCCATGTGGCATTTCCAGACTTGAGCAAGGGATGTGTCCTTTGCGTGCTCCGGGGAAGGCTCTGGATTGGTCTGGTCCTGGAGAGGCTGGACACTTGGCGTCGTCCCCCAGGGAGCCACTCAGTGTAAGTTTTACTGTTGGGGGAGGGGATGGCATCATGGATATTATTACCTCTCTGGACAACTGAGACGGTGGAAATACCGGGACCTGTCGTCCAAAGCTGTCTTTTTCAACACAAAGTGGTTTCTTTCTCCCTCATACCACAATTCTCCACTTTGCTTGGCTGTGAAGACGAAGCTTTCACGAGCTCAGAGCCCTCCGACCGTCCCACCCCCAGGGTGAAGCTGCCAGCCAGCTTTGGTGGGAGAGGCACGCAGGATCACGCTGCTCCTGCGGTGTGATGTTGTGCGTGTCAAAGCGGGGAGGAGGCTGCATTTGCGGCCGCAGGGAGAAGGAGGGGAGAGAGAGGCCCTTCGCCAGCCAGGGAATGCGGCCTCTTTCTGCTGTGGCTCCGAAAGCATTTATTAAAAGCTTTGTTTCCCTCCTTTGTCCTCCAGAAAGAATGACCTTTGTGTGGCAACTTTTTGTATAATGTCTCATTTTCATGCCCAAGCAGATGGTTCTGCTGATTTCTTAGGAGGTTTACTGGGGGGATTTTGGGAGCTTGGGAGAGATCTCATGTGAATAGACATAAAGAGTGATTTTGAGCTTTGATAGCTAAGGGTTGGGGATGAGACTTAGAAGGTTCCAGGGCTTGGCTCAGTGTGGAGCCTTATCTGCAACCCATCCAAGCTGCTTGGAATCCAAGAAGAAAGCCTCGGCCCGTGCTGGCAGCCTTCCCTCTGCCAGATTACGCACACCGCCCGGACGACTTTGTTCCTCCTTCAGAACTTCGGTAGGGAGCGTGCAGATCAGAAAATGCTACCTGGCTTTATGTGTTCAAGTTTATTCCATTTCGTTTGCTTATCACTTCTATCCCATTCAAGGTGACTGGAGCTAGACATGCAGGGTTCTTTTTCAGGTCTGCCATGAAAAAGCAGTGGCACACTCACCGTCCCCACACCAGACCAGCCCCTAGAAGTACAGAGGGAAATGAAGCGGCATTTAACAAGTGCCTTTGGCGTGCCGGTCCCTCTGTGTGCATGTCCCTTAATCATGGCAATGACTATACGAGATGGGCGCATTTACTCCCATTCTGTAGAAGATAAACCTGTAGCTAAACAGAATAAGCGACTGAGCTGGGATTTGAACCCAGCTCTGCCTGGAGCACAGCCAGGCTCCGTCGCCTACTACACTGCCCCTCACTCCCTGGGGGGTGCAGAGGCTCAAGGTCTTCCAAGTCTCTGCCTGCATCCGCTTCTTTTCCCCACTCCTCCTTCATGTACTTAACGGGATGAATGAGGTTCAAATGACTATCAAAGTCACACAGGGGTGGAGAGGTTAGGGAAAGGCTGCACCTGCCACCCAGGTCGGGGTGGGGGGGGCACAGGCTCCCGTTTCCCTGGATGATAGGGTGAGCCGGGCTGATAACAGGTGCCGGGAGCCATCAGCCTTAGGAGCCCACCGTCTGCTCCCTCCTGGCGCCAACCCCCGGCGCCTGTCCCAGGTCGCTGACTTCTTTGAGATGGCTCTGGCTTCCAGCTGCCTCCCTCTCCTGGGCATTTTTCGTTTTACTGTGATCAGAGGAAGACACAGGCCCCTGAACAGCGAATCAC